TAATACCATTGATGGAATATTACCAATGACTTTGTACTACTGCAGTTTTTATGCTGCTACTACTACCTCCTATATAAATGTGGTTGCTGTTGTATTTATGGCGATGATGATCATGGTGTTTTTAGTGTTCATGAGTATGAGAATGTAGAGAATAATGATGATGAGTATGATGATTATGATGAATAGGAGGAAAATGTTAGGGTGATGGAGATGATGAGGATGATGATAATATTCGTGGTGATGGGGATAATGAGGAGGAGCAGGAGGAGAAGGAGGCCGATGAAGAAGAATATGATGATAATGAAGAGGAGGATGAGAAGAATGATGATCATGATAATGATGATGCTAAGGAGGATGAACAGTAAGATGAGGATGATGAGGATGAAAATGAGAATGAGGACGACAAGGATGTAGAGGATGATGACATTGTTGGCGGTGATGTTTTTGTTAAGGATGATAATGAGAAGTAGGAGAAGAAGAAGAAGAATGATAACTATTGTGATGATGAGGATAAAGAAGATTTGATAAATGAGATAAGAATTATTATTATGAAGGTTGTGATAACGGAGATTATGCTGATAATGAGGATATCCTTAAATGTAAGTATAGATATATTTTAAGATATGAAGACGAAGATGGTGTGTGGTCGCAGTCTCCTTTTGTTGTATAGAGTAGCTTAACCTTGTTTTCGCAACTTGGTCATATTGGTAAGAGGACTTGGAGGAACGCTCCATTGTATGCATGTTAATTTTCAGAATCGGACCGTGGATGTGGTACATTTCCAGACGGATCCTACGGGGCAAGAGGGAGGCTCTGATAAGATAAAGGGATGGAGGACTGCGCAACAATAGGGCTGACTCTGATCAACATTCCCAGCACAAGTGTGAAGGAGTGAGAAAGCCAGCGTGGAGTGTGGAGAGTTGTCATGAAAGCCGCTCAGAAGGGCACACCATACCACATTTAAATAAGTAAGCAAATGATTGCGATAGTGAAGGCGTGATACGAGGACATATGATTGGTGATTAGCCCAGGGGGCAAGGAGAGATACCACGATTGTACAGAAGACAATTGGTCAAAGGATCAGCTTCACTTGTCTCTTTGACGAGTTGTTGTGTGGTGCTAAGAATGACGAGACTCACTGACGATGCCGGCGAAACGTCTGGGAAAGTACCACGTCCACGGTCCGACTCTCGAAATAATCACGCATAGTATGGACTCCGGACTAAATGTGTTTCTCTAAGTCTTCCTACTAAAATGACCAAGTTGCGAAAACAAGGTCAAACTACTTCTATAGATATATTCTGTCTGGATAAAGGCTGATAGAGATGCTACCAGAAGCCGTGGAAGTTAAAGAATGAAGAATTCCAATCGCCTTGGCCAAAATATAATTCTGGGGTCAGCAAATGGTACAGGGTTTTGTGTTGATTCAGACCCACCTCCCTCAAAGAGTATAGAAATTCCACGGCGCTAGGACTAATTGTAGGCCAGCGAAGGCGACTATATGCCATAATCTTGTCAACTGGACTGGACAGAACGAGGCTTAAAGAGTCCGTTTTCATGGCCCATCTGACAGCAATGACATTGTGACAAACAAATATTGAAATGAGGTCATACAAATTGAAGCGATATGCGAAGCGGTTACTTCGGCCCACCTGAAGACGCCAATCTGAAAGTCAGAGGGTTTGACGTATGTTTTGGAGGTCCGACAGGCCCCTGGTCAATATCAAGTATCCGAGCCTTTTGGTAGATTTTTTGTGAACTCGCTAGCAAGTGATGGCTGTACAAGGAGGCTGAACGATTGATTGGTCTCTAACGTGGTGCGTCCAGCCACGGAGTTGACGATGGCGGGCTCGGCAAGGGTTTCCGATTAGACACCGTAGGACTCAAGGTCCACTTGTGGCCTATGCAAATGAGCGGGGTAGAGCGATGTTGTAGGAATGCAAATGCCCTCGCCTGGCGTACATAATGAAGGGTTTACTTAAACCTTGATTGAATCCTGGGTCAAGTGTACATGTGACGGTTGGTGTAGGTCTTTGAGTGTGTCGGAATGCGAGTCTCCGGCGGTGAAGAGGAGAGGGGCTTAATCCTCGTTTAGAGACCTCGCATGGAAGGAGAAGCCAGCCTGTCGGTCGATGGGCCTTGACAACGAAATACGGTCTGGTGAGGAGTTATCACATGCGACAATTGACGGTGAGAGGCATTGGAAGACTGCTACATCGTCGAAAGACGCAACCGACTCGGGACTAAAGAACACACTTCCATCAGCCCCAGCCCCTGCACAAGCAGCGTCATGTGTCATGATCAAAATGTGTTGGTTACGACAATATTTAAAAAAAAGGTAAAATTAATTTTCCTCACTTTGCTCAAGAAAAAGTTAGGGTGGAAAAGTTGTCATAGTCTTCAGGCAACCGATCGGATTATTGTGTCACTCCTTTGTTTAAGAAAGAAAGCGGGCAAGCTATGACGATTATCAGAAGAGGAAGAAGAGGAAGAAGAAAAAAAATCAAGCCTGTTCCCAATTTCTTCGTTGATGCTTCAACGACGAATTGATTAGAAATGTACCGATTCTTCCTTAAATAATTTCAGTTTAACTATATTACTAGCAGGCATTACTTTTATATAAAATATTGGTAAAAGCTTCATCACAAAAAGTCTCACAATTCTCCTTAATTAAAGTGATACTTTTCTCTCCAGCTGCCTATGTCTTGCATGACCATATCGGCCCATTCGTTGGGAGAATTAAAGCGACTTTTTAAAGACTTAATAGTTTTATTTCTTTTTAGTAAAACTTAAACGATTGCATTGTATTGGACCTGTTCTTACCACCAAGTCAATGAGGTTTAGAAATTAGTTTAGAGTTGCATTTTTTTAATGTTGCTCAAATTCGCGTGAATACCAGGAATGTTATTAAATTGAGGAATACATGATTCTGATTTCATCCCACCCTTCCAAACTGGCCATCGGTCGGCATCTAAATTCAGCTTTATAAACATTCGATGGATGTATTCCTTTTGAAAATGTAGTTTGTGGAACCTACATGTCTCTTCTGCACGATAATGAGACTAATCCGAGTGTTTCAACCCGTGTGTGCAAATGTTGAAATCTTGCTATCGCAGAAATGGCTAAAGGTAACCTGAACAATACAAATCAGTTGTTAGGGAAAAAGGAGTTCATAGATTTCCACAAAGAAGATGCCTATTGATCGACGTCTCTGTTCTACCCAGTGATGCTCCTTGGCCCCGTTAATTTGCATTCGCGACTGTAATTCATTAATATATACTACTTATATGTTTAATAATAGTATCACTGCTTAACTAATAGTTGTATTTCAAACTCTCTACAAAAATGTTGCAGTATATTTTAATGATGCTAAAATTTTAATAACCAAGCCTCAAATCCATCTTTGTTAATTCGTAACAGGATAGAAAAAACATAGTCCTATTTATTTAGATAGCATGCTAAAGGAGGAAGGCATTTAATCTAGTGGATTATTGCTTTGAACCCTGTGAAAACTATTTGTAAAATTACTATTGAACTGCATTTGTAATTAATGTTAGATAAACAGTGATTCTAGTCCTTCTTTGATGTCTGAATATACAAAGCCAGCGGAGGTGAAAAGGTAATCTTTACCTTAATCAGTTATCTGATTATCCATGACCTTTCTTTAATTAGTAGTCGTGACTCTGCCTTTTGGCAATATACTCTAGCCGGGGTCTGCAGTTTAGAAGGCAGCAGTCTCAACGCTTTATCTTTCCACCTCTTTCTATTGTCTAATAACAAGACTAGTTGACCATCCGACAAGCCCAAATTGTACATTCTCCCGGGTTCACGTCGCTAGAAGAGTAGTCGGGACTCGGTGAGATATGCAACTTGGCTACCGCAAAACTGGCATGCAAACGGAAGTGTACGACAATTCGCATACATTATGGGCGGCGGACTTGACTCATTAGCGTTGTCCTGAGAAACTTGTATTTCGTCGGAATCTAGGCAACCGGGGCAATGCAACTGGGTTTGGTTTAGCTGAAGATGTCATTGTTCGTGTCGTCAAGACGACCACAGTGATCTTACTCTGTTTGGCCTCATCTGCCTGAGCGGTAGTGATACTTTCCGGCCTGTAACAGTGGACTTGGTGCATTCGCAGAAGCTTCGCTGGCATCGCATCTTCGATGAGTTGTGGCTTGGCGCTAAGACCAGCAGGGCAGAGTAATGTTGCCGACGGGGGGTGCACCAAGTTAACGATTCGAGGCTGGAACTTATCACGATCACTATGGGGAAAGAGGCCGGAGGCAAAGTGCATTCTTCGCGGTCGCCATTACGACACGACCGAGTGGCAAAAACCAAGTTGAACAGGGAAGGCCGGTGAGTGTATCATGAAGAATCTCGCGTCAGAACCGTGTATGCTTTGGGCCAAGACGGCAGTACATGTTGATGTGGGATGGAGTCAAGCGAACGGAGGCGAGGTAGGGTTAATGTATTTTTTATTTCGCCAGGCGACAGGCATCCCAAATGGAAGTTGGGAGAAGAAACCGTCATCTGGGCTCATTATGCCGACCAAAGGACAACTGAGCTTGTAAAGTTGAGTGGACAAGATCAGCCGGTAGCCCCAGCTATTTCCCGCCAAAAAGCCAACACGGAGGCAAATCTACTGGCGAAGGGACATGAAAGTCTGAAGGTGACCTAAAAGGACGTAAACCAAGTGACATTTGGGTGCTGAGACAGAGTGATCTGTTGCGATCTGGCCAGGTCGATGGACAGACGCATCCTTCTTCTCTCCACAATTGAAGTCGAACCCGGAGTTGACCATTTGGATCTAGTGATCTTCTTCAATACGAATATAAGTCGTGCTTTTGACTGTATAGGCTGCGGTACGGGACAGGACTGGGTCGCCTTGAAAGTCACATCCGCCGGACTCGAGTCCCGTTGTGGGAGTTGATGAGCTCCAGACGAGATGGCAGCTGTTGGGATTACTTCCATTTCGAGTAGAAGTGTTGGGTGAAGAGATTCGAAGGAGTTTTCTTGACTCGTACGCTTGAATTTTGTTGTGACGATGTTACCTCGCTCTGATGATGTCGGTCATATGACGGAT